GTTCTCGACGGGCAGTTCTGCTTGTAGTTCCAGGATTGCTCGGCTCGGCTGCTATGCAGTGCCTGGTAGGAAATGACGTGCTGGGATCGCGGGGTGACAACGTAGTTGGGTATGCAGTGTGCCTCGGTGACGGGGCTGCATTCTGTTGTTTCTGGCGGCGTGCAGGGGCGCCTCCCTGTTCTGCTGTGAGTGTCTCGGGTAATGCGTGGCGCTCGTTTTTGCCTTGTCGACGTTGGTGGTGTGCACTGTGTGTTTTCAGGGTTGTGTTTTCGCGCGCATTCTTGTTGCTTGTGCTTTACATGGCGGAGCGTGGCGGATTTCGTGGTGGCTTTGGCAGTGGCGAGCGTGGAGGTCGCGGCGGTCGTGGCGGCGCTGGTGGTGAGCGTGGCCGTGGACGTGGTCGCGGACGCGGAGGTCGCGGTGGGCGCGGTGGCAAAGACACGGACAAGGAGTGGACGCCGGTGACGAAGCTGGGCCGTTTGGTGAAGGATCGCAAGGTGACGTCAGTGGAGGAGATCTACCTCAATTCGCTTCCGGTGAAGGAGTTCGAGATAATCGATGTGCTGCTGCCGAACCTGAAGGACGAGGTGCTGAAGATAATGCCGGTGCAGAAGCAGACGCGGGCCGGCCAGCGCACGCGCTTCAAGGCATTCGTCGCGATCGGCGATCACAACGGGCACGTGGGCCTGGGCGTGAAGTGCTCCAAGGAGGTGGCCACTGCTATTCGGGGCGCCATCGTGGCGGCCAAGCTCTCAGTGATACCAGTGCGACGCGGCTACTGGGGCAACAAGATTGGACAGCCGCACACAGTGCCCTGCAAGGTGACCGGCAAGTGCGGCTCGGTTCTGGTGCGCCTGATCCCTGCGCCGCGCGGTACCGGCATAGTGTCGGCGCCGGTGCCCAAGAAGCTGCTGCACATGGCGGGTGTCGAGGACTGCTACACGTCGGCTGTTGGCCAGACAGCCACACTTGGCAATTTCGCGAAAGCCACCTACGCTGCGATCCAGCGCACCTACTCCTACCTGACGCCGGACTTGTGGAAGGAGCACGTGCTCGAGAAGACGCCCTACCAGCAGCACTGGGAGTTCCTGTCGCAGGAGCAGCCCACTCGCAGTTGATCTGGCGCATT